TTTTTTTGAGACGGCATCTCGCTCTGTCTCCCAGGCTGGAGGGCAATGGCGAAATCTCAGCTCACTGCAACCTCCACCCCCCAGGTTCAAGGGATTCTCCTGCCTCAGCCTTCTGAGTAGCTGGGATTACGGGTGCCCACCACCACACCCAACTAATTTTTGTATTTTTAGTAGACGTAGGGTTTCACCATGTTGGCCAGGCTGATCTCTGCTGCCAAGCTGGAGTGCAGTGGTGTGACCTCAGCTCACTGGAACCTCTGTCTCCCGGATTCAAGTGATTCCCCTGCCTCAGCCTCCCTAGTAGCTGGGACCATGCCCAGCTAATTTTTGTATTTTTAGTAGGGAAGGGTTTCATCATATTGGCCAGGATGGTCTCAATCTCTTGACCTCATGATCCACCCACCTTGGCATCCCAAAGTGCTGGGATTACAAGTGTGAGCCACCGCACCCGGCTCCCTCTACTTTGAACTTGGGAGTCATTATGTCTCCTAAGAGACTCTTGATGATAGTTTTATCTCCACAAACTGTAGAGAAAGGAACTGCATTCTCCTCATCATATGTAAGATGACACTCAAACGGCCTGGAAGCCGGCAGTTCACCCCTGCTATCTGGACACAGATCATTTGTAAACCTCATCTCCTTCTACCCTCAGATCTCCCACCTCCACAGATGCAGCCCATGCTGGGGTTGTGCTCCTGATTTACCAAAACACACCATATTCTTCTTATGCATTCTCCTGCATCAACAACTGGAAAAAAGTAAAGTGGGGCTGGGTGTGGTGGCTCACACCTGTAATCCCAGCGCTTTGGGAGGCCGAGGTGGGCAGATCACAAGGTCAAGAGATCAAGACCATCCTGGCCAACGTGGTGAAACCCTGTCTCTACTAAAAATACAAAACTTACCTGGGCGTGGTAGCCCATGCCTGTAGTCCCAGCTACTCAGGAGGCTGAGGCAGGAGAATTGCATAATCCCAGGAGGCAGAGGTTGCAGTGAGCTGAGATCATGCTACTGCACTCCAGCCTGGGTGACAGAGCGAGACTCCTTCTCAAAAAAAAAAAAAAAGTTAAAATGACAGATTCAAAAAGCATGACGGAAGAAAAATATTTAGGTCTTGGAGGCTGAATGACTTTAGAGGAAGAGGAGTCAGGGAGAACCAGTTTTCTGGTCTGGAGGGCTGGGAGTCTGATGGTATAAAGATGGATACAGAATAAAGTAGGTTAGGATAGATGATAGAGGATATGCCCTTGTCTTGCTGCAAGCAGAGTTAATGTTTTCCATTCTCTTCACAGATCTAGGCTACGTAACAATCTCAGAATCCTTGGATAATACATTCCTAATATTTCCAGGCCACTGCCTGGGGATGGCTTTCTCTAACTTATATTACAACTTTGGACTACAGAGGTTGTGCAGTATCAAGAACCTGAGTGAGACTAAATGCAATGACATTGGTGAGTATTGTAAATGGAATTTGTTAAATACGTTTTTGTTGAAGTATAATTCATATAAAATCTTCCCTTTTAAAGCTTACAAGTCAGTAATCTGTCATAAGAGTTTTTTTAAAAAGGACAAAATTTACAAGTCACTGTTTTTTGGTATATGCAGTTGTACAACCTTGACCACTATCTAATTCCAGAACGTTTTCATCACTCCAAAAGGAGGCCCTGTATCTATTAACAGTCACTCCCCATTCCCTTCTTCCCCCAGCCCCTTGAAATCACTAATCTACTTCCTGTCCGGATTTCCCTGTTCTGGATAGTTCACATTAATGGAATCACACAGTGTGTGGGCTTTGTGTCTGTCTTCTTTTACTTAGAATAATGTTTTCAAGGTTCACCCATGTTGTAACAGGGGTCAGTGCTTCATCCCTTTGCATAGCTGAATGTTAGTTAGTCCATTGCATGGTTATACCCCAATTTATCTTTTCATCTGTTGATGGACATGTGGGTTGTTTCTGCTTTTGCTATTATGAATAACACTATTATAAACATTTGGATATGAGTTTTTGTGTGAACATGTTTTCAGTTCTCTTGGGTATATATCTAAGCATATGTTTGCTGGGTCATTTGGTAACTCTGTTTAGCTTTTTGAGGACCTACCAAACAGTTTTTCACATTAGCTGAACCATTTTACATTCTTACCAGCAAGGTATGAGGGTTTCAGTTTGTCCACATCCTCTCCAACACTTCAAAAAATTATTTACTTTGGCTGGGTGCGGTGGCTTATGCCTGTAATCCCAGCACTTGGGAGGCCGAGGCAGCTGGATCACAAGATTAGGAGTTCAAGACCAGCCTGGCCAACATGGTGAAACTCCATCTGTATTACAAAAATTAGCAGGGCAAGGGAGAAACCCAAGATGGCCTATTACTAGCAGCTCAGGATTGTAGCTCCCAGTGAAAGCGCTGAGAACGAGAGGGCGCCACACTTTCAGACGAACTTTTGTTGCTCACGGACCAGGAGATTCCCAGCGGAGAAGCCCCACGGGTCGCCAGTGTGACTCTTGTGGCCGGCGCGGCAGTTCTCGGTGCAGAGTAAATGGGACTGGGTCCCCTTTTGGTCGACGTTTGGAGCTCCAGGAAGGCGGAGTCGCCCATTCAGCTGATTGAAAAAGGGACTCAAGAAGGAAGCCAGACCGGAGATTCCCGGGCAGAAAAGCACCAAGAATCTTAATGCCGCTGTTTTGGCCAGCCCAGCGGGTTGCTCAGATTTCGGCGCTGGGAATCAACAAGTTGGACGTCCACTCAGAGACCTAATTTGAAAGTCGGTAATTAGAAAGGCGACAGGTGGATAAATTCACAATCACGGGAAGAAACCAGCATAAAAAAGCTGAGAATACTCTAAATCAGAATGCCTCTCGCTCTACAGGGAATCACAGTTCCTCATCAACAAGGGAACAAGGCCTGATGAAGAACGAGTGCATTCCAATAACAGATTTAGGCTTCAGAAGGTGGATAATAAGAAACTTCTGTGAGTTAAAAGAGCATGTTCTAGCCCAATGTAAAGAAACTGAGAACCTTGAAAAAAGGTTGGACCAAATCCTAATGAGAATAGACAATCTAGAGAGGAATATAAGTGAATTAATGGAACTGAAGAATACAATAGGAGAACTCCGTGAAGTTGCACAGGTTTTAACAGTCGAATTGATCAGGCAGAAGAAAGGGTATCAGAGGTCGAAGACCAACTTAATGAAATGAAACGAGAAGACAAGATTAGAGAAGAAAGAGTAAAAAGGAATGAGCAAAGTCTCCAAGAAATATGGGACTATGTGAAAAGACCTAATTTATGTTTGATAGGTGTACCTGAATGTCATGAAGAGAATGAATCCAAGCTGGAAAATATTCTTCAGGATATTATTCAGGAAAACTTTCCTAACCTAGTAAGGCAGGAAAATACTCAACTTCAGGTAATACAGAGAACACCACAAAGATATTCCTCAAGAAGAGCAACCCCAAGATACATAATCATTAGATTCACCAGGGTTGAAATAAAGGAGAAAATTCTAAGGGCAGCTAGAGAGAAAGTCAGATTACCCATAAAGGGAAGCCTGTCAGACTCACAGCAGATCTTTCAGCAGAAACCCTACAAACTAGAAGAGAGTGGGGGTCAATATTCAATATCCTCAAAGAAAGGAATTTTCAACCCAGAATCTCATATCCAGCCAAGCTAAGCTTCATAAATGAAGGAAAAATAAAATTTTTTCACGAACAAGCAAATACTCAGAGATTTTGTCACCACCAGGCCTGCTTTACAAGAGCTTCTGAAAGAAGCACTACACACAGAAAGGAATAACCAGTATCAGTCATCCCAAAAACTTACCAAAAGGTCAAGAGTATCTCCATGATGAAGAATCTATATCAACTAATGGGCAAAATAGCCAGGTAGCATTAAATGACAATATTAAACTCACAAATATCAATATTAATCCTAAATTTAAATGGATTAAACGCCCCAATCAAAGACACAGACACGCAAATTGAATAAAAAATCAAAACCCATCAGCACGCTGTATCCAGATCCATCTTATAAGCAAGGACACACAAAGACTCAAAACAAAAGGCTTGAGGAAGACTCACCAACCAAATGGAGAGCAAAAAGAAAAAACAAAAAAAACAGGAGTTGTGTCTCTGACAAAATAGACTTTAATAGTAACAAAGACTAAAAGAAACAGAGGACATTACATGATGGTAAAAGGATCAATGTAACAACAGGAGTCAATGATCATAAATATATATGCACCCAATATAGGAAGACCCAGATACATTAGACAAGTTCTTAATGACTTATAAAGAGACTTGGACTCCCGCATAATAATAGCGAGAGACTTTGACACCACATTGTTAATATTCGATGGATCAACGAGATAGAAAATTAACAGGGACATTTATGATTTGAACTCAGACCTGGAACAAGTAAACTCAGTGAATAGTTATAGAATTCTTCACCCCAGGTCCACAGAACATACATTTTTTCAGTATCACATTACACCTATTTTGAAAGTGACACATAAATGGAAGTAAATCACTCTTCAGCATTTGCATAGCATTTCACAGATTTAAATGAAATATTGGTTGGCTGTTTGTTTGTTATTTTCTTCCCTTATTCCTTCCTGTCTCTGCTGTTAAGCACAATTATTGGCATAAAAGAGGTTTTTAATATCTATTTTTAGATTGCATTCCAGCCTGGGCAATAGAGCAAGACTCCTGTTCTCTCTCCCCTTTCTCTTTCTCTTTCTTTCTTTCTTTCATTAAAAAAAAGAAGATCTTTCTTTCTTTCATTAAAAAGAAGAAGAAGAAGTTTATTTCCATGTGGCTTTTTTATAGCACTTAAAAAAAAAAATTAGCTGGGCATGGTTGTGGGTGCCTGTAATCTCACCTACTCAGAAGGCTGAGGCAGAGAATTGCTTGAATCCGGGAGGCAAAGGCTGCAGTGAGCCGAGATTGCACCACTGCACTGCAGCCTGGGGGACAGAGCGAGACTCTGTCTCAAAAACAAAAATTATTTACTTTTTAAGTTATGGTAAAATATACATAGCATGAAATTTTTTTTCTTTTCTTTTTTTTTTTTTTAAAACAGAGTCTTAGTCTGCTACGTAGGCTGGAATGCAGTGGTACTGTCTTAACTCACTGCAGTCTGTGCTTTCTGGTTTCAAGTGATTCTCCTGCCTGAGACTCATGAGTAGCTGGGACTACAGGCACGCGCCACCCCACCCAGCTAATTTTTGAATTTTTAGTAGAGCTGGGATTTCGCCATGTTGGCCAAGCTGGTCTCAAACTTCTGACTTCAGGTGATCCACCTGCCTCAGCCTCCAGAAGTGCTGGGACTACAGGTGTGAGTCACTGTGCCCAACTGAAATTTGCTATTTTAAAGTGTACAGTTCAGTGGCATTAAGTACATTCAAATTGTTGTGAATTAGCACATCTATCTCCAGAACTTCTTTCATTTTGCAAAACGGACACTATGAACCCAATAAACAATAACTCACCATTCCCCTAACCCCTGCCCCTGGTCATCAACATTCCACTCTCTGTCTCTTTGAATTTGATTAAATACCTTATATGAAACAATTTCATTGAGTTCTCATTTCCTTTTGTGTATCTTTTTTTTTTTTTTTTTTTTTGAGACAGAGTCTCACTCTGTCACCCAGGCTGGAGTGCAGTGATGCAATCTTGGCTCACTGCAACATCACCTCCCAGGTTCAAGCAATTCTCCTGCCTCAGCCTCCCGAGTAGCTGGGACTACAGTTGCCTGCCACCACACCTGGCTAATTTCCATATTTTCAATAGAGATGTATTTTCACCATGTTTGTCAGGCCGGTCTTGGACTCCTGACCTCGTGATCCACTTGTCTCAGCCTCCCAAAGTGCTGGAATTATACGTGAGCCACTGCACCCGGCCAGCCGTTCATTTTTTTTTTTTTTTTTTTTTAGACAGAGTCTCACTCCATCACCCAGGCTAGAGTGCAGTGGCGTGATCTCAGCTCACCGCAACCTACAACTCCCAGGTTCAAGCGAGTCTTGTGCCTCAGTCTCCAGAGTAGCTGAGATTACAGGCGCACACCACCACGCCTGGCTCATTTTTGTATTTTTTGTAGAGACAGGGTTTCACCATGTTGACCAGACTGGTCTCAAAATCCTGACCTCAAGTGATCTTCATGCCTTGCCCTCCCACATTGCTGGGATTATAGGCATGAGCCACCTTGATTCATTTCAACCTGAAAGGTTCCTTTCAGCATTTTTTTTTTTTTTTGAGACAGAGTTTTGTTCTTGTTGCCCAGGCTGGAGTGCAATGGCACGATCTGAGCTCACTGCAACCTCTGCCTCCCATGTTCAAGCAATTCTCCTGTCTCAGCCTTCTGAGAAGCTGGCAGCCTCCTGACTAGCTGTAATCCCAGCTAGTCAGGAGGCTGAGGCAGGAGAATTGTGCCACAATGCCTGGCTAATTTTGTATTTTTAGTAG